TAAAAAAATGGCTCTAAACAAATTCTAAAGCGGCAGAACCCACAAAAAAACAGAGTGAAAGAAATTTCCAGCCCAAGACAACCTGGATAGTTGATTGGAAAGGTATATCGCGCTGGGCTGGGAAAGGAGGACAGTTTGGCACGGGCGTGCGGGCCTCCGCAAACCTAGGGCAGCCCTCAGAGGACTGAATCACAGGCAGCTGTGGCAGTTTCCAGACTTCTCAACCCATGAACGCCAAAGACAACTTAGAAGGTCAGTAGGAAAAGCTTGTGTCTGCGGTGAGAGAGAAGGACAGTCCCAGCCCAAGTCCCCAAGCATGGACCTGGGGTGGTGGATGCCTCTGGAGCTTCGGGTCCACAGACTGAGGGGAAATCGAGTGGCTGATCAGAGGGGGATTGCAGGAATCTCTCTGCTGGTGCAGGATTCTCTTGCTTTCCCCATGCTTGGATCTGGGTCTGGTGTTCTGGGTGGTGGTCCTGGGGCGGGAGGAGTGCTGCCCTGGTGGAGCTTGTAGTGGCTGTGGAGAGAGAATCCTACTCACAGTTCCAAGGCAGAAAAGAGCGCTTGTGGTCATTCACAGGCCAGAGCACAGACCAGGAAAGGAGTAAGCACCTCACCCTTGATCATAGCACCTTGGAAGATCTGAAGATTTACAGGTCCCAATAAGTATCTCTGAAACAGCTGCACAAAACCCACTGAAGCTTGGGACAGTACATTCTCCACACTGGAAGCAGACCTCTACCTTAACAAACAGTTTATAACTCAAGTAATTGGCTGGGATCATGAGCAAGTAGCGTAAAAAGAGTCAGACCAAAGAATCTTACTTTGGTGACAAAGAAGATCAAAACATACAACCAGAAGAAGACAACAGAGTCAAAGCTCCTACATCCAAAGCCTCCAAGAAAAATATGAATTGGTCTCAGGCCATGAAAGAGCTGAAAAAGGATTTTGAGAAGCAAGTAAGAGAAGGAGAGGAAAAACTGAGAGTGATGCAAGAAAATCATGAAAAACAAGTCAACAGCTTGCTAAAGGAGACCCAAAAAAAGAATACCTTAAAAAACAGCCTAACCCAAATGGCAAAAGAGGTCCAAAAAGTCAATGAGGAGAAGAATGCCTACAAAAGCAAAATTGGCCAAATGGAAAAGGAAGTCCAAAAGCTTACTAAAGAAAATACTTCCTTAAAAATTAGAATGGAGCAATTGGAAGCCAGTGACTTTATGAGAAATCAAGACACTATAAAACAAATTCAAAAGAATGAAAAAATAGAAAACAATGTGAAATATCTCACTGGAAAAACAACTGACCTGGAAAATAGATCCAGGAGAGAGAATTTAAAACTTATTGAACTTTCTGAAAGCCATGATCAAAAAAAGAGCCTAGACATCATCTTTCAAGAAATTATCAAGGAAAACTGCCCTGATATTTTAGAACCAGAGGGCAAAATAGAAATTGAAAGAATCCACCGATCACCTCCTGAAAGAGATTCCCAAAGGAAAACTCCTAGGAATACTGTAGCCAAATTCCAGAGTTTCCAGGTCAAGGAGAAAATATTGCAAGCAGCCAGAAAGAAACAATTAAAGTATTGTGGAAACACAATCAGGATAACACAAGATTTAGCAGCTTCTACATTAAGGGACTGAAGGGCTTAGAATACAGTATTTCAGAGAGCAAAGGAGATAGGATTACAACCAAGAATCACCTACCCAGCAAAACTGAGCATAATCCTTCAGGGGAAAAAATTGACATTCAGTTAAATAGAGGACTTTCAAGCATTCTTGATGAAAAGACCAGAGCTGAATAGAAAATTTGACTTTCATATACAAGACTCAAGAGAAACATGAAGAGGTAAATAGGAAAGAAAAATCATAAGAGACTTATTAAGGTTTAACTGTTTACATTCTGCATGGAAAGATTATATTTGTAAGTCATGAGTCCTTTGTCAGAATTAGAGTAGTTGCAGGGAAAAATAATATGTATGTATATAGATAGATAGATAGATAGAGGGCACAGGGTGAGTTGAAGATGAAGGGGTGATATCTGGAGAATGGGGTAAATTATCTCACATAAAACAGACAAGAAAAGGCTTTTACAGTGGAGGGGAAGTGGGGGAAGCTGAGAGTGAATGAGTGAATCTTATTTCATCAGATTTGGTTTAAGGAGAGAATAACATACACACTCAATTGGGTATGGAAATTTATTTTCCCCTACAGGAAAATAAGGGGGGAAGGGGGTAAGACAGCAGGAGGATGATAGAGGGGAGGGCAGATTGGGGCAGGGGGTAATCAGAAGCAAACACTTTTAAGGAGGGACAGGGTCAAAAGAGAGAATAGAATAAATGGGGGGCAGGACAGGATTAAGGGAAATATACTTAGTTTTTCACAACATGACTACTATGGAAGTGTTTTGCATGACTACACATGTATAACCTGTATCGAGTTCCTTGCCTTCTCAATGAGGGTGGGTGGGGAGGGAGGAAGGGAGAAAATTTGGAACCCAAAGTTTTAAAAACAAAAGTTAAAAAAAAATTGTTTTCACATGCAACTGGGAAATAAGATATAAAGGAAATGGGGTATAGAAATCTATCCTGCCCTACAGGAAAACAGAAGGGGAAGGGGATAAGAGAAGGGGGAGAGATAGAAGGGAGGGCAGATTAGCAGAAGGGGTATTCAGAATGCATGCCATCCTGGGGTGGGGGGAGGGACGAGATGGGGAGAAAATCTGGAACTCAAAATCTTATGGAAGTGAATGTTGAAAACTACAAAGAAATTAAAAAAAAAAAAAGAAATGCAATGATCTAAGACATTTCCAAAGGTTTCATCATGAAAAATGCTATCCACATCCAAAGAAAGAACTATGGAGTTTGAATGCAGATCAAAGCATACTATTTGCTATTTTTTTTCTTCTGTTGTGTTTTGTTTCCTCTTTCTGGTAGTTCCTCCTATTGGTTCTAATTCTTACGACATGACTAATGTGAAAATATGTTTAATAGGAATGTATATATATAGCCTATATCAGATTGCATGCCATCTGGGGAGGAGGGGGAGAAAAATTTAAAACTCAAAAGCTTATGGAAGTGATTGTTGATAAATCAAAATAAATTAACAAAAAAAATCAAATGATGATATGTGGTAGAATGTACAGCCTATTGAACGCACCCATTAGTATATACTTATCTTTGACAGATATTGAAAATGAACACCACAGAAGAAGCTCTCTTCAGGGATTAGATTAAAAGAGGATAAGGACAAATACAAAAGATTAGCATGGATTTGTAAGAATAGCATCAGGAAGCCCAGAAAAAGCTGGTTTGTGAAAAAGATAAAGGCAACAATCAGTCTTTTTTTTTTCAAGCTACATTTGTCACTATGAGGCAAGCACTGAAGCCCGGAACACTAGAGGACTGCCCCAAAGATCTATAATCAGTCAAGTGAGAATGGCTAGTAATCTGTAAATCAAAAGCCAAGTGACCGGAAAACACACATGGTCCAGACTATTACCCTGAGCTGGGGACCTCAACCTCTTTGTTAGACAGGTACTATGGATAGAAAAGGAGCAAGGTCAGAACTAAACAAGAACAAAGTAGGCTGATTTTCATTGGAAACCATGCAGTTCTTTCAATGATCCCTGCCACCAAAACATTTATTTTAAAACAGTATTCTCCTGGTGACGCTGTAGAGTTGTAAAACATGGCCCAAAATGATCTCAAAAGAATTAAAGCTGTAGGTGACTCAAAAAACAAAGGAAAAACCCATATTGGTGGACATGGGTTCTTGTCTGCAAGAAGTAATACAGAAGATATCACTGAGGACACGAATGATCAGAAAAGGAGATGAGCCAGTCATATAGCAAGAGCAGACTGTCCAAATGTTGAACTGGCATTCCCGAAATATTAAAAGAGAGAGAGGAAGGGCTCTGGTACAGATTCTCTATAGAGGATTATTGAAAAATAAGGGCAAAAAGTACATAGGAGGAAAATGAGTGGATCTGTACCAATGAAACTTGTGCTTTCACTGATAAAATTATAGATTCGTTGAAATACTGAAGGATATCTGATTTAAAGAAAAGTAAAAAGGAAGGAATAAATAGGCTTGCTATTTGGGAAACAGTGTAATCTTAACTGATGACACAGAGAAGGCAAAAGTACTCAAGTCCAATTTTGCTTCCATTTATCAACAGAACAAGATTCCTAGAAAATCAGTGTGTTTTCCATCTTTGGAAGCATTCAAACAAACAACGGACGTCCAACTGCTAGTATGATGTAGAAGGGTTTCCTGCAATGTATGGAAGGCTAGAACAGGTGAACAATTCCAAAGTTTTATGTATACAATTATAAATAAAAAAGCAGTAGGTCTTAAGTGATAGTCTTGTCAATGAAAGACTAATTCAATACGATTAATGAATTTTCAAATTATTCTTCTAATTCTTTAGACAGTTGGCAGAAGACAAAGTAATAATGTCTAAAACTAGATTCTTCATAACACCAATATTCAAAATACATCTAATCAGCTGGCTACTAAATTCAGTCACATTTCATATCTTAAAAATTTAAATATTATTTACTAAAATACTAAAGGTCTAATGGATTTTAAAACTAATTTAAACTATTTTTGAGTGAAATATAATATATATTTTTAACAGTTCACTAATCAAAGTCAGGGCTTGATATTTTCACAGAACTGTCTAATCACTTTAGGTGGATACCTCAATTTAATTGAATTAATACTGAGTACCTACTAAATTTAAGGCATTGTATGGGTTAAAGGATGAGTAAGATATGGTTCCTTTTCTAATGGAAATTGGATAAGCACACAAATAATATTGTGTACCTCTTAAGATAATCCTTCATGCCTGATTTTATCTTATCACCCCTTTAGGAAACATTACAGAAGAGTCAAAACCAAAAGGATTCAGTTTTTTTTAAAGGAAATATTTTTTAAATTATAATACATAATAGAATGATAAGCAATGGCATAACTCAATAACATATTCTATATACGAACCGATTAGAAGCAGTGTTCCAACAGCTAAACCACCACCTGGAAATAAAACAAAATCAAAAAAAAGAAAATTAAAATTAATCTACCTTTTTCATATTACCTTTCATGTGCAACTAAGATTTTATCAAGGACAGGTGATACAATAAATTTAAAACTGGTTGTGAACAACATTTTAATTACCTTTGTGATACTTTTATTCAATGCACTATTATGAAATAATTACATATTATATGTAATTACACACTACACATTACAATTACTTTCATAATATCCTGTACTATCCTCCTTTCTTCAGCAATGGGACCACACTGTGATCAGCATAACTGTAGTTAAGCATTCCAATAATGTTATATTTAGCATTAGTTAATAAATTAACTTGGTAGTCAAGACTTAAAAGTGCACAGTACTGCAACAGCGACATCAGTATACTTAGGAAAGAAAGGTCATTAGGATAGAAATTCCACTTTGATATGTATTCTCACATGTAACAAGCCTCAGTGAAAGGAATAATTAAAAATAATTATCTATTTTTTTCTGTTTAGAGACAATTTTAAACAGATTAAACACTTTACTAAATATTAAGGTCTAAGTACATTTAACATTAATTTCATTCAAAAGACAATGATAAAATCCCAACAATGTCATCAAAAATTAACTGGATAATTTTATTTTAAAACACAAAGTACAGGGACAGCTAGATGGTGCAATAGATAGAGCACTGGCCTTGAAGTCAGGAGGGCCTGAGTTCAAATTTGGCCCCAGACACTTAACTAGTTGTGTGACCCTGGACAAGTCACTTAACCCAGAATGCCTTAATAAAAAAAAGAAAACAAAAACTGCCACAAGGGACAAAGATTAATAACTATAAATAATTACTAATATTTATAAAGCCCAAAGCCACCAGGGAATAAATAGCAAAGCTAGGATTCAAACTCCATTCTTAAGACTCCAATCGCAGCACTTTCATATAACTTCAAAATCTATGCCAATGCTTTCCTAATCTACTGTGCGCAAAAGCTATGAAAACAGTAGTTGACAGAATGGTATCACAGGAATTACTTTCCTCCCAAAGTCAAAATAATTGCAAGCATTACACAAGTCACCTGAAGGCACTTTTGTGAAGTTAATATTTTTACTATATACAGTATTATGTCAGAACTTTGCAAGGTAAACTAAGTTATGATTCCCACTATCATTTCATTTTCAATGGAATAATCATGGTGTGATACTACACCTGACTTTGAGACAGAACATTTAAGTTAAATTAACTATGGATGGTGAAGCAGAAATTACTACTAGACTGCCAAGAAGAGTAGGAATAATGAAAGGAGTGAGAAACAGAAGGAAAATAATGACTTGTTCTGAGTCGTCTGGATGTTTCTCAAAGGTATTTTACATAATCATCTATAATTCAAATACATTACCCTTCCTGTTCTTCAGTATGTGTGTGTTTTTATGCTCACCTGGTTTAGTTATGAGGCTGAATGTATACTTTTTTCTCTTTCAGATTGGCAAGCTCCTTTGTAATAGCATTTAAACCATGCCAAGGCACAAGTGCCAAAAATCCTTTCGACTAATGCTTAAACTAAAGGGGCAGCTAGGTGGCTCAGTGGATAGCGTGCTGGGGGAATCAGAAAGATTCATCTTCCTGAGTTCAAATCTGTCCTCACACACTTACTAGCTGTATGGCCCTGGACAAGTCACAACCCTGTTTGCCTCAGTTTCCTCATCTGCAAAATGAGCTGGAGAAATGGCAAACCACTCTAGTATCTTTGCCAAGAAAACCCTCAATGGGGTCTCAAAAAGTCAGACATGACTAAAACTACTGAACCAAAAAACCAAAGGACATATAACAAATAGAGTAACAGTAATCACTAAGGATAAGGGATACTTTTATCAACATGTACGCTCTAACCAAAAAAAGGTTTCCTTTAAGGCAAATATTTTATTTGCTCCAAAACATTACTTATTCTAATTTTATGCTTTAACATGTTTATTAACAAGCACAGAGCTTCACAGCAAAGAATATAGTTCAACACTGTTCTCCTAATTTACTTTCCAGAGAAGATGCTGGCATGTGATTAATTAACCAAATTCCTCTGGGTTTATATTACTACCTTCCATGATTAATTTTGTAACTACATGGATCTTTAGGTTCCAGGTATTTACTGGAAAACTAAAGGATCTTTAATGTTAGCAGTCAGATCATGAAAAAAAAAATCTAGTAATTGATAACTACGTTCCTATTTTATGATTAAATGATTTGACAAATAGTTCTCAAATTGGTGAATGTAATTATATTTCAAATAATTACTTTGTTTTCCCAGTTGTATCCTTTCCAAGGCAGAGCCAATTGGGCACTAAGGTCAAGTAGAGAAGGCAGCTGTATAACAGAGACAATAATCCAACCTTTCCTTTTGCTTTGTTTGGTTCTGGAGGGGAGGAATCAGAAGGCGTGGGAGGCAGTTGTAAAAAGACAAATTAATCTTGGACATAGACAAGATACTCTGAACACTGGAGCTCTTCAAAAATGGAACAGGCTGCTTCAAGGTTTAGAGGGTTTGCTCTAACTGCAGATCTACATGAAGATGCTACATGGCCATTTAGTACAAATGGTAATGTGCAGATTCATTTTCTGGTGTGGACAGGATTAGATGGACACTGTGGACCCTTCCAATTACAAAATTCTATGATTCAATAAAAAAAAAATTTTAAGTGCCTACTGTGTGCCCAGCACTGTGCTAGTGTCTAGAGATACAAAGACAAACACGAAACAGTCCTTGCCCCACAAGAAACTTACATTGCATTTGGGAAAACAATATGTAAACAGCAAATAAAATATATGTGTGTATATGTGTGTGTGTGCGTGTGTGTGTGTGTGCACGCGTGCCCGTGCTATGTATTAATGCTATGTATATATTATATTAATACCATATGTTATACTAATGCAATACTTCACATGTATGTATATATGTGTATGTGTACACGTATATGTACACACTTACACATACATATCACAATGAAAGGGGGAAGGGCCACTAACAGGCAATCAGGGAAAGCCTCCTGTAGGAGACTGTACTTCGCTAAGTCTCGAACGATCTAGGGTTCCAAGAATCAGTCGTGAGGAGGGAGCACATTCTTGGGGCATAGGGGACAACTTATATAAATATGTGGAGGCTACAGACTGAATGTTTTGTAAAGCAAGCAGGCCAGTTTGGCTGTGTGAAGTGCATGAGAGAGAATGATGTTTATATAATCATCCTGAAAAGGTGGGCTATAAGTACTTAAAGAGTTCTGTGTTTTAGAAATATCAGTTTGACAGCTGTATAGAATCTTAATCAGAAAGGAAATTGGACACAAATCAATCAGGAGGCCATAACGATAGTCCATAGGAGATGATGAGACCCCAGATTAAGGTAGTCATGGTTAAAAAAAACAAAAAGAAGATGGATATGAGATACATTGAGGAGGCAGAATCAACAGGATTGGGAAATAAGATATGGGGAGTGTGTGTGTGTGGGTGTGGGTGTGTGTGTGTGTGTGTGTGTGAACAAAAGTAAACCCACGTAGATTCCTAGGTTACAAATCAGAATGACAGAATGATGCAGGGAAATTTTTGGGGGAAAGATGGGGAACAGACAACTTAAGGTGTGAGATGAGAACTTTCTTTATACCTCTTGAGTTGGAGAGTCCTACAGGACATCCAGGTGGAAATGTCAAGCAGGAGTTGGAATCGCAGCACCAGAACTCTAGACAGACATGAGGGCTGTATATATAGATTTGGGAGTATTCTACATGGAAATGATAATTGAATCCATAGAAGCTTATGAGAACATTAACAGTAAAGACAGGAGAAGACCCACGCAAAGAGGGATGGATATGGATGGTGAATTTGCAAAAGAGAGTGAGGATTGGTATGATAGGAAGGTAGAGAACCACAACAGAAGGCTTCATGAAAACCCACTGAGCAGAGTGTGTGCAGAAAGGGGGTGAAGAACGTTACCCACAAAGTGTGTAAAATCACCAATGCCACGTGCTTCAGGGAAGTGAAAAATAAGATATGAGAAAAGGTCACTGGATTTATCAAAAGAGATCATGGTAACCTCACTGAGGATTTAAGCCAGCTTGCAGGGAGTGGAGACATGAGAAGTAATAACATGAAGATAAAGAGCAGATGAATTTTGGTTTTAGGAGTTTGGCTGTAAAAGGGAAGAAAGGTCTAGGAAAAATAACTTGAGGTGACAGTAGGTTCAATGAAAGGTTTCTTAAAGATGGGACAGATATAAGCCAATTTGGGAATGGTAGCTATGGAGAGAATAAAAATTAGGGTGAGGAGGTAATCAAAGGGGCAAGCACCTGGGGGATATGAGGATCAGAGGCCAAGGTAAAACAGTTGGTGCTGGCAAGGAGATGACTACATTCTTTCTTCAAGACTCAAGCAAAGGAGGAGAGGATGTTGCTGAGGTAGAAATGTGGAAATGGGGAGAAAAGAGAGCTCCCGGTCCCAATGGCCTCAACTTTTTCAGCACAGCATATTGAAATTCTCTGCTGCAAGAAAGAGCATGGTGGCACGGAAGGCTTTGGAAGAGATCTGGAATTGCTATGAAGAGTAGGGCGGTGTCCATCACAGGAGAGGGAAAGGACTAGCATGTAGCAATTCTAGTTTATATCAAAAACCAAATTTAGACTGTAGCCAGTCAGCCTGACTTTGGGGTACTGAATGATGATAACCCTGAGAGGCTGGGTGATCCAAGGTATGATCTACTGCATCTAATACTGGACTTGAATTGGAAATCCCTGTCAACATTTAACAGTTGCAGGACCATTGGCAAATCACAACTCTTCTTAGCCTTTATTACTTCACCTTTAAAAGAGGAATATCTGCAATGGCTACCTCACAGGTATGTGAGGTTCAAAGGACATGGTGAAATGTTGAGGGCACTTTGCAAACACTGAAGCACTGTATGATGTTTACTATTACTCAATGAGACATTTTTTTTCTTACCAAAAACCAACCATGCTTCCATTACAGATTGTCA